TCAATCTTGCAATTGCCAAAGAATGGATCATCAGACAGGTAGACATTAATAACGCATTTCTGAATGGAGAATTGGAAGAAACTGTTTACATGAATCAGTCGGAAGGTTTTGAAGATAAATCAAAAGCTAATCATGTATGCAAACTTGAAAAGGCCATCTATGGATTGATACAAGCACCAGGGCCTGGTATAATAAACTAAAATCAAGATTTTTGAGTTGGAAGTTCAAACAATATGTGGCTAATACATCTCTTTTCTACTTCAAGGATGAAAGGCATGTGATTTTTGCTCTTATTTATGTAGAGGATATTATCATAACGGGCAATGATAAGGATCGGTGCAAAGCTTCATAAACTCACTTAACAAGAAATTTGCACTAAAAGATATGGGAAGGTTGCATCATTTTCTTGGAGTTGAAGTAGTATGGCATGATTTAGGCATTCACCTCACTCAAACAAGATATATCTCTGATTTACTTAAAAGATTTGGGCTGGAAAACTTGAAACAATGTCTTACTCCTATTCTTGCTGGCAAAACCATATCAAAATATGATGGTGAAGTATTAGATAAACCATCAATCTACAGAAGTGCAGTTGGAGCATTGCAATAGCTCTCACATACCAGACCAGACATTACATTCAGTGTGAACAAGCTGAGCCAATTTCTGCAGTCTCCAACTTTTACACATTGGCAGGATCTAAAGAGAGTATTAAGATACCTCAAAGGAACTATGAACCATGGTTTATGGATCCAAAGAAGTGACAGGTTGTGTATAAATGGTTACTCAGATGCTGACTGGGCATCTTGTCCAGACGATAGAAGATCAACAATGGGTTATTACATCTATTTGGGTGACAACTTGATATCTTGGTCTTCAAAGAAGCAGCATGTAGTAGCTCGCTCAAGCACAGAATCCGAATACAGAGCACTTGCCTCAGCTGCTTCAGAAGTTGCGTGGATTCAATCATTGTTTGAAGAACTTGAACCTGCATTAGCTGGAATCCCAAAATTGTGGTGTGACAACATGAGTGTAGGAGCTTTGGCTGGCAACCCAGTTTATCTCGCTAGAACGAAGCACATAGAGTTGGACATTCATTTTATCATAGACAAGGTGTTAACAAAGAAACTTGAAGTGAAATATGTACCTGCTTCAGATCAAATTGCAGATCTACTAACTAAAGGGCTGAATCACTCGAGATTTCTCTTCTTGAAAGACAAGTTTGGAATCACTTGCATACCGTCCAGCTTGAAGGGGGGTGTTAAGATTTAATATGTCTGCAAATCAATTCCACATCAGCTGGGCTTTATTCCAGATCATTTGGTGATTCAGCAGCCTCCATTGCCAGCTGTAACAACCGATTCTTTGCCTCTTGTTTTGGACCACCAATTTGTTGTACAAAGATTCCAACATGATCCATAAATTAAGGAACCACCTAACAACTATAGCTTCTAGATCATTCTTGTAGCAATGCAATGTATTATATAATCAATAAGCTCAATCAATACATAATGCGATTCATATCATCTTTGCCTTGCTTTAGAAATTTCACTATTCTCTAATGATCCACTATGCAAAAGAGTTTAAAAATAAAATACTGTGCTCTAATCTTGCAATTCTCGTGATTTCTGATCTTGTAGATTGATGAGTAGAAAACTAAAGAAGACTCTTTACACTAATTAAGTGCATATTAATTATTGTTGAATATAATTAATGTGTCATAATAAAGAAAATGAAATGTATTGCTATCGAACATTTCCTTTTGCAATAAAAAACAATAAAATACACTTTTTAGTGTGTCTATTTTTGTCAACGAATGAAAGGATCAATGTATATAAAAAGAAAAGACATAATTAAAAGAAATAAAGTAAAAGACAATACAAAATATTATATTAGTTCATGAAACGAGCACAACAATGCACAAAGACGACTAATTATATGTCAACTGAGATTGACGATTAAAATGTTAAGACCAATAATTTACCTAACGCTTCCCATAATGTTTTATTGTATAAAAGAATATAAATAAATGTCGAGATCAACTAAAAAATGACACAAATAGTCGAATATTTGATTCGGTAGTATCTACTTTTCTTTAAAAAATTAGAGAATCATCACACCAGAATGGGTCAACTTTCGGATCAATTAAAGCATATAAGCACGATTTCTATTAAGAAAAGAAAATTCATGAAATTCTAGAACCTTGTCAATTACTAATGGGGTCCCTTTTAAGGGGTTTTATCATTTATGCTTTATCAAAAAGAATAAATGCTACGGGAATAAAAAAGAATAAAAGATAAATCACATTTGTTTTCTAAATAAATAAATATTACTTATTAGTTAATATTTTAAACGTAATTCTTGCCTATATTTTAAACATAATATAATTAATCATCAAGCCAAAGATGAGTCACAGTGGTAGAAAGAGATTTGGCATATAGATGTTTAGCCAAAAATGGCTTCACAAATTCATAAATATGAATAAAAAAAATTAATACATATTTGTATGAATATGATGAGACAATAATACTGTCAAACTGCCACGTGCTTAGAACGCTCCAAACGGATGTATATATACAATCAAATATTTCGTCAAAAATAAAACGATCATTTATTTTTTTGTAGAGTTTGTCTCACGCAAATCGACTTTTCCAAAACTCCAATGCCCAACATGAATATATTCACATACATAAGATTATCTAGGCTATTTTCAAGTTTTAAGAAGTTCTAGCCCCACAACAAATTGTTTTCATCAACAATAGTTCTAGAATGAGAAATGTTGATTTTTATTGCTATAATGATTTTAATTATGCTTATTACATNAAAAAAAAAAAAAAAAAAAAAAAAAAAAAAAAAAAAAAAAAAAAAAAAAAAAAAAAAAAAAAACTTTGTATTTTCCCTCTCATTTATTTATATTAATTATTAATTATAAAGATAGTCATTTCTCAATCCCTTTCGCATGCTTTGCCAATATATTAATTATAAAGATGGTCATCTCTCAATCCCTTTCGCATGCTCTCCATTCGCAGGAAATAAAAAAATGTAACCTCAACATACTCTCTGCACTTCTTTCATTTTATGTTCTCTCTGTATATTGAAATTTTAAACTGTTAATATAGTGTGTGGATAGTTTATAATTTTAACATATATTATAATGTTGTAATAATTTATATAATTTCATATAATGATAAGAATATAACGAAAAATAATTGAGAACTTAAATGTAAAAGTGAGCAAAGATTAAAAATATTTATTGCACTTATAATGTTGTGTATTTAATAAAAAATTTAGTGGAAATATAATTACCATATCATTTGGTATTCCCTTTTTATCTAAATCTAGGTATCATAGAAATTCATATGTAACTATCAATTAAAACAATTTTTAAAAAGGGTAAATATAACATGAAATATTTTTTTATCAAATTATATAGTAACATTTTGTATGCATTAATTTTATTACATTAAATATATTATTTAGTTGTTAGGATATGTGTGAAACAACGAAATGAAACAACCATTTAAATAAGGAAATATTGATATTATTTTTCTAAACTGACAAATTCAACCGAGGGAAGAAATTTAAGTTAGATTTTTATAATAAAAGTTGCTAATAAACATTAATATAATATTAAAAAGATCAATGTAGGGAATTATTGACAAATGGAAGAGAAAATGAGTTTTTTTTTTAATTTCATGTTGAATAAATTGAATTGATGTTATTAATTAATTATTAACAAAGATAAAATTAAATGAGGTTATATTAGGCATATAGCTAAATATGTAAGAAATTAATGTTATTAATTAATTATTAACAAAACTAAAATTAAATAATATGTAAGGATAAATTTGGTATTTAAATTTTATCTTCAATCCTCCCTTTTAATATATTGTAGATATGGATACATATATCCAAGTCATGATGATTTTTAATACTTGAAAGTTATGCCATCCAATATTTCTAATATGATGTATAAATGCTTTTTTTTTTTTTCACGGTGAATAAATTATACAATTCTCATGTATCTTAAAGTTGCAAGAAAAATTTAAAGTTAAAGTTTTGAATCTAAATTATTTACTTTAAATATTAAAAGCATGTTATTTGCATTGCTGAGTTGTGCTCAAAGTTAAAATTTTAAATTTAAGTGTTCAATTTAGACGTGATTTCATTTTAATTAGTATCAAATTTCATTTGGACTTTTTGATTAAAAGTTATTCATTGAGTTAAATGTTGATTAGAATTAAACCCTAATAAATATTTTGGACATATTATACGGATTTCGTTACATCGATAGAAAATTATTTGGACTTTATATGTTGAGAAAGTGATAATAGAACATATTTGTTTAATCTGTTTTTTAGTACATACCATACACCAACTATCTAATTGAATTTTTCATGACTTCTTAAAGGAGAAAGATAGAAATGATAAAAATAATATTAGGTTCTGCATATCTGAAGGCTTCGAAATAGCTAATATCATATAATATGAAGGGATAAACTTTACTAATGCTAGTAATTTATTCTCCACAAAATTAAAAATGAACCTATTAAATTTCTTAATGTGCCATTAATCATATTATACGTTATTACAATTTGGCAAGTACTATGTTGAACTAGAAGTTCAATTATCATATTGTTGTTTGACATGAGCAGTTAGATCATCACTACATTAATAATGACATGAAATTGAGTATTTTAAAGGACATTCAGTGAAAAATCTTGTTCTTTGCTTTATAAATTGGTTGTTAATCATCAAAAGCTAAATTTGGGACCAAATAACAATTCTTAAAAACTAATTAGGGTGACATATGTGCTCGTCACTATCCATGTTAACCATCTAAATATAATAATATTTAATAGATACATTTATTAGATGATAGTATGGTATTCGCAACCTAAAATTTGTGAGATTGCATGCTCAAATTTTAAATTATAAGCATAATATCATGTCAATGTTAGTTAGTTTACATCCCAAAATTATAATATATATGTTAATTGGGATTATGATAAATGGTTTAACATAATATCTGCACCCTGAAATATTCACTTCAGTGAAACTGGAACTAAATCAGATGTGACTAATTTGATTAAACAAACATCAGAGAAATAAACATGGCATAATTTTTTGAGTTGATTATTGGTTATTCGCTGGCATGTTCGCCATGATTCCTTAAATAATCAATAATCAAACTTTCTTATTAGAAAGCAAATCAAGCATTGGCTCATGTAATAACATTTTAAAATGATGATTTTACCAGATGCACCAAAACTCTCATCAGATAATTTCAATAACTTGCCAATGATCAATAATAAATAATTATCATCCAATAATCTTAAACTGTGCAAACAGTGAATGAAAAATAATGCTAAATTTTGCAGAACATCACAAACCATTGTCATCGCTCCAAAATGAGCTGCCGCAATCAGAATGCTTCCAGTGCCAACAAAAGGGTCATAGACCAATTTGCCAGTTCTGACTTGTGCTTGATTCGCCATTAAGAAAGCCATTTCTGCGTCCATTGCTGTTGGGCCAAGATATTTGCGGCTTTTTAATTGATAGGTTTGCAAGATCTTCCTATTAGCAGTTCCAATCTCCCGACCAAAAAAGATCCTCCTATGCACGATGGGAGGAAGCCCATTCTCAGATCCATAATCATCATTATCCATAAGAACGAACTTGTGTTCAGGTTTTTTCAAATTCACCCGTCCCTGAAAGATACTGAGTTATTTGTTAGCAACAATTGATAACATTAGCATCCAAAAGGATCCACAGAAAAGTTCAAATCTCCTCGGGTCACCTAACTGACATTTTCCATCACATAAACCGAAAAATCTACTTTAAAAGTCTGAACATGGACATCTACGAACTTATTAAGGAAAAAACAGAGAAGCACACTAACTTCGTCCAGGTTCATGAAGACAAAAGAAAAAAAGAATATAACTTTCGAAATAATGAAGTCTCCTTCAACAACATTTTATAGTCCAGGTCATCTTGAAGCCGTTCCATATTTACAGTTATCTAAGTTAGCTATAGCCTTGAAGATTTTAACTTTTTTGATTTACTGTATTTTTAAGTTCCCCAAATTCCAATTTGAAATGAAACACAAGTACACCTTAAAAGGAATGAATGCTAGCTTCTGAAGGAGATTATTTTGCTCCTGAAGGCTGATCACCTTCCCAAAGCTTTCAACAGTAATCTTAAAAGTACCGTCAGGTGTTAAGAATGGCAACATCCGTTCATCTGGATAACTATTGATAGCTTCTTCCAATTCCTCAAAAGTTTGTCCTTTCCCCCAGAGTTCATATATTCCCTTCACAAGAATACCTGCACGCTCAAAGAGACCAAGGCGTTAGATTTATCCTCAAAACTCTCATCAAATATCAAAGCATGAAGATAAAAGCCGAAATGCTGGATTAAAGCATGATTAGACAAAAATTTACATATCATAATATTTAAGCCGAAAGCATGATTACAATAAAGACATTGAATGAACTGCAACAAGCTAATTCTTATTCCCAATAAACTTGGGTTACGCTAGTGAATCAACACTTGTGAGCTTGTGTTTTAACTTACCAACTCGTTAAATGGTAATCCATTTTTACTCAAAAATTAAATTACCATAAGCGATTACTCTAGAATATATCTTAAAATGAAAAGAAACAGCCAAGAACACCGTCTTAACTCGATTCAAAAGCATTGCAAAAACTATAATTGCAAAAAGTGCTTCCCAGTTCATTCAACCAATAAAGTCAAAAAATGAAATACCAATCTAGGTTTTGTCTTAATTCAACGGCAATATCATACAACACAAAAAACTCTGTATTTATGCGGGCATATATATAAACGAAAATGCTTACTTCGACCGGCGATGTTTCGAGCAATTTCTTCAGAAGGAATATTGACGAAATGGAAAGGTGAATCGGGGTGGTGGTCCTCCGGAAGCCTCCATTCCAGCGATCCTGTGGTCGTGCCATCGAATGCACCGAAGAGTCCGGCAAGAGATTCGAACTCGGGTTTTCTATATTCTATTAGTCTATGGTAGAACACGCATAGATACCACATATTGGACTACAAGTTTGCACTGTAAGGAGATGAATTCTATTTCAACGAAAGGAATGCTTTCGCAGGCTATACAACGACGTAAGAGAAACTACAGTAGTGGCTGAGAGTGGCGGAGGTGATGGCGCGCGCCGCGCGGAGTGAGCAAAGGCGACGTCAAGGCCCGTGTCCGGTGTCTGACGGCGAGTGGTAACAGATTAATCTTCCTCTTTCTAAAACCCAAAACCCTCGAGGATAAATTTCATTTACGGTAATTAAACATTCAGCAAAACTTAATTTGATCAATAAATTTAGCCCTCAGCCCCATTCTTTCAAAATTTATTTTTCCTCAAATTCATTGCAATTGTACATTTCTCTTATAAGAAAATTTTACAGGTAAATTCAAAAAAAAAAAAAAAAATCTGATTTCTAATCACAAATTCTCCAAAAATTCACTATTACAAAACTCTTTTTTTCACAAAAAAATTGCCTCAAAGATGGCCTTGGTGATTTAATTGAAATTAATAATTTGTCTTAATTGAGTTATTAAATTTCTATTAAATCAGTAAATTGCAATGTTATTTCAAATTAGGAGCCTGTTTGAGCCATAATTTTTTATGAAAATTCATATTGGAATAGTATTTTGATGGAAAATGTGTGGTTAAAAAAAATTTTTATTTACCTGTAATATTATTTTATTGAACAATATATTGTTGAAAATAAGAAAGAGAAAAATATATTTTAAAACTAATGGGTATTAAACAAGGGCAACATTACCTTAACACTGAAAACAAATTTAATTTTCAAATTCATTAAAATAAAATATTAATTTTAACTATACTCTCATATTTATTATTAATTTATAATTATGATATTCATGAGAATTTACTAATATTCATCTTTATCTATAATCTATAATATGTCAAATATCATATCAAGTGAAAATTATTTTTTGAACTATTCTATCCTTATTATAATTCAATTAATTTAATAATACCTTACTTTTTGTTTTTCAATATGTATTTAATTATTTCAATAATACCATACTTTTCAATTTTCAATATGTATTTAATTTATTAATAATTTGAATAATATTATCATTAATTATTTTGCCAACTATTTAGTTATGATGAATATATACTTGACATATTTATTAACTTACTTTTCATTTTTCAATATATATTTGATAATAATAATGATAATAATATCAAGTGGGAATAATTTTTTGGACGATTTTATCTTTATTATGTCCTTGTTTGGTTCCCATTATTTTCAAAATATAGTTTTCTCCATCTTATTTTCAACTATACAATCTTCAATAAAATAATATTACACGCAAACTCAAAACATTTTCTTGTTTTTTAATCACATAATCTACATCAAAATACTATTCCAAAAAACATTTATTGGACAAAAAATGAGGCTTAAACAAGCTCTTAGTTTGTGCCCTTATTAAAATATCTTAAACCCTAATGAATGATATTTTATAACGTGATTTGATAACTGTCAATTTGATTGAATTGTTTTTTCAGCATTAATGGTATAAATTAGTAGCTGAAAATAATACATAATGCATCATATTACGTTATCTATATCATCGCATTTGACAATATGAAAAGATAATTCAATTGCAAGTGCACTTACTAGCGTTGTTGCATTTTTAATATCATAAGTGCACGATATCGTAACAAGTAATGTAGTTGACCTTTGAGTCCGAATTATCGTTTCCACGATGACTATACTTTAGTCTTAATCTACCTTTCCTACATATTTGATAAAAGACAAACAAATAAATGATTGTGATAGTTGTGAATATTGATTTTCTAAAATGAACTAAATGCCTAAAACAAATGAAAATTATGATGAAATAACAAAACCAAATGGATCAAAGATTTATGTATGTAAGATATATTAGGGCAAAACAACTTTATCTAATGATCACCTTAATTCTCAATTCAAGATTCTAGCCTAGTGTAGTGTTCGGTTGAATTTTCCTACGATATTCAATTTACCCCTATCGAGTTCTCATTTAGTCTATTAAACTAGTTCAATTTCATATAACGACCGCAATATTAGGTATATGTATCTCTACACGTTATACTTCGTTACCGACTTTTATTACAAGTTCTAAGTCTTAAACTCACCACTCGATTCGTAAGAAACTCAATAGATCATCAAATTATTGATCAAGTAATTCAATGCAATGCAATCATAATAAAATCAACACATGCAAGAATAAAACACAAAATTCTTGAATTAAAGAACTAAGGGTCTCAATAGATTACACTGTTTGCCCTAATAAGAAATTTAGCTAAACATGATGAAAAAGATAAAATAAATAAACATATTCGAATACATCACTGGATTTAATTGATAAAAAAGATGGAAAATAATCAGCTCTTGCATCAAGATCTTTTTTTGCTTCCAATCCTTAATTTGAACTCGAATCCTTGATGTATTTCTTCGCAAATTCCTCTTCGATCTTGTGTTTTTCTCTCAATTTTACAAAGTGTGGAACCATCTTTTCAATGTGTGGGAACCCCTTTTTTCATGCCTCCTTAGATCTATTTATACTTTTTTACACATTCTTGACCAATTTGGAGTCCTTTTGTGGGGGGTTTTCGCGGTCTAAACAATAAAAACCTAAAATCTGTGGCGGCACGCAGTGCCTGGGCGTTGAAAATCTGAAAATAATCGGTTTTGTAGCGCCTGAGCGTTGAGTCGCTGTCCAACCTCTGTTTTAGTATTTTTATCATAACTTTTTCATCCGATATCCGATTATAGCGATTTGAAATGCGTTAGAAAGATAACTCAATGATCTACAACATTGATATAAATAGCTCTTTTCGAATTCGAACGTTTAATGGGACAAAAATGGGTCTCGATCTCCAACTAAATATTTGGACATCCTTGCACGGTTGAAAATTGATTTGTTTTCACTTCTTTTAATCTTTAGTTGTTTCATTTGACCCCCTAAC